CCCCCAAAACCCCAAAACCCCAAAACCCCAAGTGCGTTAAAATAAAAAATAACAAAGTGAAAATGAGTTTAAACCAGTCGCGGAGCCATTATTTCCAGCCTCATAATCAGAATAGTTTAGATCTGAGCCAGGTAATTTTAGGATGTGACTTAGTAGAAAGCCCAACCTTACAAATCCCTGTATGGGAAAGCAACTAAATTAGAGCATAAGAGTGTTGACAAGCTTCCGATTTATAAATAAATTTGACAACTTCCAGGCATCTAGCTCTTTTGACAAGAAGTTTTATGGGAATGGTAGTCGGCATTCTTTTGAGTTTCAGAAGAAACATCCTGAGATTTCTCCACCTAGACCTAAAGACCTTATTAATAAAGAGATAGTTCCAGTAAAACCTCCAAAGTTTATAAAATAATAGCATGAACATCAGTGATATTGAAGGTGCACAGGTGCGAAAGCTTTTCAGGCTAAAAACCAGAGATATCATGAAATGCAGGGATATTGATGGCGCATATCCTAAAATCAGACGCAAGCATTATAAAGACTATGCTTTTGATGATTACTCTGATGTTACAAGAAACATACCAAGGCTTACCTTTCTTGATAAATTGAGTAATAACTCACAGATTAGTCATTATAAACGTTTGTTGAAGAATAGAATACAAAGTTTGAAAGATCAAAGTTATATTCTAAACGGTCAGAATCACTCTTTATTTCCAAAGGTAAGTCTTTTCTCCAATTTCTAGGAGAAAGTAACAGAGAAAGACCACAGACATGCTCCTAAGAGAGCTAGAATGCAGAAGCTCAGCAGGAGTATATCTAACTTTAATGAGAAATAAAGCATCCAGTACAAAAGAGAACCCTAATAAGCTATTTCAGAACAACTCTTTTGTGAACTATAATAATATTACTGTTGAGCCTAATAAGAAGCATTATGAGAATTTCTCTAAGAAATTTGAATCTCTCAAGAAGACAAGTTCAAGGAACGAGAGACTTAACTCTGACAGAAATGGCAAGAAAAGAGTAAATTTAGTTTTAAATCTTAGATAATCACTTTCAATAAGCATTCTCCTACTACTAAGAGAGAAGGAAGAAGGCTTCTCAATCCCCAGGCTTTAATTAGAGGCAAGAATAATTACACAACTCAGAGAAAGGAGCCAGAGAAATTCAATTTTTATGGCACAGAAAATCTGTTGAAGGCTTCTGTTAAAGCAACAAAATTTGACATGAATATGATAAACCCAATTATAAGGAAGATTGACAGCAGAAAGTCCACCCAGTGAAGTTTTGACTAGAATATTATTGTAAAAATTAGCATGGAGTCACTTCGTTTGGTAGTTTTACGTAACTTGTGATGAACCCAGGCAAATCATTTGTGTTCTTAAGCTGAGTGATATCATATTTCTCTAAGGCACATCCTCCATACTCTTGACACAACTGGTATTGATTGAAGTGTGCTAGTAGAGAAGATTGATAGAATTCATCATGGAATATCACGTTCTTCAGCCTTAGCCCATGGATCATAAATGAGGTCTTTAATTGTACTTTTACTAAATGAATTTTAGCAATCTTTCAAGGATAATGATTATTGATTATCTCCCATATCGAGTCGAAATAGAAGTTCGAAGCCTCAGAGTCTATCTTTTGGTCATCACAATCCACTAGCATAGTAAATGTGGTGTTAAATCCTAGTCCTATAAGATACTGATTTCATGTCTCGAATCAGTAGATTATATAATCAAGATAATTCTTCATTGTAATCTCAGAACTCTTCTCCTGGAAGTAAATTCCTGGCTTAGAGAAAGGTTTGAAATAAAAACAAGGGTTCATATCTTTATCAGACCCATAGAGGTAAAGTTTCTCAGACTGTATAACTTCCTTAAGCTCGGTTGATCAGAAAGGGAACTTTCTTTTTCTCCAACTGATATCTTTTTGGATTATATCTACGACTCTTCCCACATCACACTTGTTAGCAACAAGGAAGTTTCTGATTGCTTTATAATCATACCTTTCAATATCTTCAAATTCCTCTATCTTGATCATGGAGAGTTCTTCGATGACAGAGATGACCTAAATTTTGGTTAGGATTTTCTATGACTATCACATAAACTTTAGCTAGCATATATCAGAATTTTTGGGTTGAAATCTCAATGATGCTTACCTTATTGTCTATTTTCTTTATGTAATCCTCTTCTTTATTCTTGGAGAAGAAGTCTACCTTATGGTTGACATGAGATAAGCTTTTGACCATCTTCATAGTCATTCTTGGAGATTTGACTTCCATAGGATGAGCTATATAGGCGTTATGATTTTGAAAGATTTCAACACCCCAAAAGGTTCCATCGCTATTGCAAGAATTTTAACATCAGACTGAACTTACCCTTGATAGACTTAAAGGTTTCTCGGCACTCTTAACTTTTCAGTTCTATTTAGGAGCCTTGATAGTTTGAACAGACTTCTTAGCTACTCATTCTTCACCTAATTAGTTATCAGTTTTGATCTACCTGAACTAACTGGGGATGGAATATTTTTAACTGTTAAAGAACTATCGTTTGATATCAACGTTATGCTTTGTCTTTCCATGCCTATTGTTGTACGATAAGTTTTACGACCTTCAGCACATCAGGATGCTCCACCCATTTCAATAATTATTTTATTTTGAGGGGTTTTGGGGTTTTGGGGTTTTGGGGTTTTGGGG